CCCCCCCGCCGAACCGCTGTGGCTGGGGGGGTTGGCACCCTTTATTTTTTCCCATAGGTGCTTGAGCCCTGGAGCATCCATGGGGTTGGCGCCTGTGCAGACCCGGGCTTGACCCACCCCCGCAGGGGCTCACGCTCAGTTTTACAGACGCCAGGTCAGAGAAACGGGACCGAGAGTTTAGTGGGCCCGCGAGGCCCCTTTGCCACCTTGGTCCTGAACCGAAAACGAATCAGCCACTGCGTGTGGAACGATTTGCAGCCAAGGGGCGGGGTGTGTGTGCGCGCACGGGTGTATGTGTACGCGCGCAGCTGTGTGAGTGTGTGCATGTGTGCATGGGGGCGGGGCTGCCTGCAGGCTGGGGCCGGCTGCTGGGGCGCTGCCCCCCCCCCCCAAGCTGGGGTGCAATGGTTGCTCCTGGTTCCTGTGCAGGCCAGACTGTGCTCCGCTGGGTCCCTGGAACTAATAACCTTCCGCTCGCCTGCCGGCTGAGATACACGTCTGACTGCGGATGGGGGGGGCCCAGGGACTCCCCGCTCTCGGTGACAAACAGCCATTCAGGCACCCAGCGTACAAAGGAAAGCAGCGTTCTCCGTTTAGGTCATTGGCTGGGCATAGTGGAGCTCAATACGGATTTCAGCCGGCAGCAATTTAATCCCGGAGCTTGTGATGAGCACAAATAATAATTCATCCCTCTGGAGAAAGAGACTGGCCTATGCTAATCTCCCATTTCCCCCCAGCCCCACCTCCAAGCTAACTCTGGTCCACTCTTACATCAGTGTGGATCCGGAGCAATTCCGCTGAAGGCAATAGAACTACTCTAGGGTAGCCCAGGACTTGTTTGTGCTGTGGGGTTTGCATTGATGTAGCAGCGCTGATGCAGCAACAGGGAGAAGCCCCAGTGTGGCTGCACTGTATCAGGGGAAAGGGTGATTTGCACTTGGGTAACTGCACCAAGTGGACAGAATACTTGACAGTTGCAAGAGACCTTGCTTCTATTCCCACTTCTGCCACTGGTTTGCTGGAGGGCCTTGGTCATACCACTACTCTGTGGCTCAGTTTTTCCATCTGTAAAATGAGTGTAAAGATCCTGACCTCATTAATAAAGACCTGTGAGATCTTCGAAGTCACTCACGCAGCACGCCTGTGCTGATGGGTCTGACTCGCACTGCTCGGTGCGTGTGCTTACACCAGAGCCCAATGGGTGTCAAATGCTCCCAGATCAGCATAGAAGTGTTTTTACACCCCCTTTGGATGAGCACAGATGATTGTCCAAGGTGCAGGGCAACAAAGAACCGGCAGGCCCCAGGTTAGCCATGTCTTTGCAGCCAATCCTTTTGTGCCACCCAGATCAAAGTAGCAAACAATCTTTGAAACTGGCACTGGTACAGTAGCACAAAGGCAGGACTATGCAGCACTTTAAAGACTTACAAGATGGTTTAAGTTCATCACCTAATAAGCCATCTTAGTCTTTAAAGTGCTGCACAGTCCTGTTTTTTGTTTCAGCTAGACCAGACTAACACGGCTACATCTGTTACAATTTCCAAAAGGTAACTATTGTTTCTAACTCAGTTACCACCATTCATAACCCGGCCCCCACTGAGCCCAGCCTCTCTCCAGCCTCTTTGGACCCCCCCTCAGGAGGTTGCAGGCTGCTCTCAAATCCCCCCTCCCTCTTCTCTTCTGCAGACTGAACAGACCCAGCTGGCTCTCCGCAAACTAGCTCGCCACACTTCAGTGGATTAGTCCCCAGTTAACAGCCACCCGGGACCCGGTTCTGTGGCCCCACCGTGCCCCTCTCTCTCCTCGGCGCGTGGGGCGCCGGAGGTAGTGTGAGAATTCCCTGGCAAATGCACATCCGGCCACCTCATGGGGCCCACACGGTTTGGCCGAGCGGCTCGGCATAAGACTGAGCCGCGGAGACGTCCGGAAAGGGGACTGTACCTGCGCCCTGTCTCCAGAGCGGCCGGTCTCCGCACTCCACAGCCGCCAGCACAATGTGGGGAAGCCTCTTCTTGGAGGCAATTGCACCGTCTGAGAAGAGCATCCTCAGGCCGGGCCCAGGGCGTGCACTAAGGCTGGCACTACCATCTTGCAGGCAAGAGCTGGCCTCTCGCCAAAGGGAGCCCTGAGGAAACCAGGCATCCCCCTGGCTCCTCCATTTCTGCTTTCTCCCCAGCTCCAGGTTCAGGATTCAATGTGGATTAGCAACACCATCTGCGTGCGGTGTGCCGAGTCACCACTGCGGGAAACGGGCGCCACGTTATTCTTACTGCTTATGCTCTTCCTGTCCTGCTGCGCTAGGAGCTGTACGAACGTGTAACAAAGAGCCAGACCCTGCTCCAAAGAGCTTACAATCTCAACGTGCGGCAGAAATCGGTGCAGGTGACTTCTGCTGACAACACAACACAACATTGCCCCAGGTCAAGGACAACAGCACAGCAGCAAACCGGGCAGCATCACACAGCAAGGGAAAGGAAATCTAAAGGGGAATCATCCCGGAAAGGAAGCACTCGGTAAAACGCCAACATCAGCAGAAGAGCACAACAGCTGCCCAGCAGCCATAGGAATTGACTCTACCCCCACCCCCCTTTACATACAAGTGTAACTGACAACGCCTGTGTCTGCGAGTCCAAACAATGCTAGTGCCATTGGTTTTGCATCATGCTTGGCTGTTGAAGGGCTGTCCATCTGCTTCACATCTGGCCCGCAGCTGTCCCTCCCACTCGGCAAGGGGGACAGTGCACACTGGGCGGGGGACAGGTTTCTGCCGATCTCCGTCCCGCTTTGCAGAGCAGCCTCCAGACGGAGGCTCGCTCAGATCTTCTTCACATAATTCCCAGGGAAGAGCCCTTCTTTGCCATGAAGCCGACCTTTCCACCACCCCGAGGGATCTGGAAGAGAGCGCCGTGCACAGTGTTATTAAATGCAGGGGGCGAGCTAGGCCATGCACACGGTATTTGTGCCCTGCAGCCTCAGTCTTCCAGAGTTCCTCTGACAGGTGCACAAGAGGCAGAGAGCTGGGTGTGTGGACGTGTCTGTCTGGGGGCTGGCAGAGCAGAGTGGAGCAGGCAGCCATGGTGGGCAGAGTAGGCAGGGCAGATGAAGTAAGCCTGCACCTGACCAGCCCAAGTCCAGAGCGCAGCTCAGTAGCCAACTAGCTAAGGCAGTTACTGGTGTTGACATACTCGCCGCAGCCTCTGAAGTGTGGTAAGGCTGGCCGGGGACCCGGTTCAGAGGTGCTCTCCCATTGCCGCCGGCTACTCTTCTCATCTTGGGGGAGTACCAACTTTGAGGGGAGAGCACGCGGAGATTGATTTATCGCATCTAAGCCAATATGATCCATCAATGGCCAATGGATTGATCGCTGCAGTGCCGAGCCACTATGTAGTGTAGACAAGGCCTAAGAGAGCAGCCTTTTTAAGCATCGTCACTCACCCCCTTTAGGAAGTGGTGAGAAATTATTGTCCAATTTACGCTTAACTGGCAAGATGACACCCTGGGAAACCCATTGGCTGTATGACAAAGCCCTAGGGTCTGTGTTAAAGTTTTCTGGCCTGGCTTGGAAATTCTCTGGGCTGGGTTATGCAGGAAGTCAGAATAGATGGTTGTATAGGTCCCTGTGGGCCTTCGACGTCGTCGTGTTCTGCAGGCTGATCGCTTGCCAGCCAGCTACAGAGTAGCAGACATACCAGCATGATAGCACTAGTGATGCAGTAGGAACAAAGGCCCCCGGCGCTAAACGCAGATCCCCAGGCATCCGTGGGGGTGTCAAATTGTCCTTCACACTTTGCGGGTACCACGCCTTAGGTCCACGACCACCCACGGGAGAGAGGCCCAGTCAGCGGGTGTATTGCCCTAGATCGGGGCCCAGTCCCTTGGTGCTCGGCTCATTGGCTGAGGGACCGACTTGGAACCAGCAAGTGGGTACTGAGTGCAGCGCAGGCAGCTGGCACGAAGGTCAGCAGGACCCTGAGATGGAAATTCTCCCTGGGGCTGCCCAAGGGGCCGGTTCATTTGTCCAGCCCCTGGAAACAGGCTCCAGGCTTCCGCTGAGCTTTCTGGTCTCGAGTCTTTATTTTGGCCCTTTGATCTGTTTATCCGTCTGGGACGTGCACCTGTCGGTGACCCGCATCCTCCCCCCCCCGTTTCACGACACGTTCGTGGGGAGCCAGGTCTAGGCTCCTCCCCCAGACGGCACCTGCTCCCGGGCTGGGCCGGCCGGCTGGGACAAGACACAGCGGAGAGGGGGGCCCCGGG